CAAACGTAACCATTGACATTAAAACAAAATTTTGAAAAAACCTATTATTTTGACATTACAAACAGACACTTCAATTTCATTCATTTTTATAGATATAAAAAAATCAGAATACATTATGAAATCCGAGACCTGAAAGCCGATTATTCGGCTTCGATTGGTCACACTCGGTTATCTTGATGTATGATCATGTGTACCAATAGCCATAGTTTGTTACACAAATTGAAATAAGATAAGATAAAAATTGTTTTCTCTTCCAAAAAGATTACTCAATACTAGGTTATCACAGTAATTGCTCAAGTCGAGACCTTTCTGGGAGACTGGTTTCTACACTAGGGAACCCTGTATAGTACAAAGTATGTATTATACTTATGTCTAAACAATGAGAAAAAAAAGATAAACATCGTAGCCCATTAAAAACATTTATAGTTATTAGTTTTATTTTTATTTTATTTATTTAAGGATCACCAACAAAGGATGTAGGCAAAAGATAAAAAATACATTTAAGACGGGTATTGGTATGTGTACTCTTTCAATTACAGGAGACCACAGCATGCGTATTTTCAACTAAGTAAATAATAATTTTATGATACAATAGAGCCTAAAAAAGAAAAGTGCTTAGTATTTACAATAAATTGAAAGTGCAATAAAATTAAAATTAGGAGAAAAAAATAAAACACAAACATTAAACAACATTAAGCTTACAATTTTCCCAAACGCCTTTTAAATTCGGAGAAAGATTCACAGATGTCGATATTATGAGTCTTTGACAGAGTATTGTATTGCCTACAAAGCCTTGGCACACATTTATGAGTATGCGCGTTCGAAATGACATAACTAGCTAATCTGATTATCATCAGTAGAAGATTTTGACTTCTTCTTCTTACTTATTTCATACTTTTCTCTTTCCTTATTGAGTAATTTTCATTAGTATATAGATGGGAGGGTCATGAATAAGGGGCTGTCGCGAGAATTTTCGACGTTCAGTACCTTTGCCGAAGCGATTTCAGATCGTTACCAAAAGTTCAAATATGATTATTGGAAAATAAAGTGACCACACCGGAGCAGCAATATTTCTATTAGCTTTACTGATATGAAGTAGGGAATAAAGACCAGGGGACTTACTATCTGGCAATATATTAAATACTTGTAATGAGGTTCTAAATATCGTCTGTTTGTGGGCAGACGAGCATACCTGATGTAAAGTGACCATCGCCGCCCATGAACGTCTGCATCTCAGGAGTCACAAACGCGTTGCCGGCCTTTTAGGAAGAAGTACGGTCTTTTCTAGAAGGATTGAAAGTCGTACCGGTCCGGAAATACCGCAGACGATAACCCGTTCCACAGATTGGTTGTGCGGAGCAAAGTGTCTCGAAAAGCGCACAGTAGTGGCGCGCCAAATATCCAGGTGATGAGGATGAAAATTTTACCGTGGAACGAACACTATTTTCTTGTTGACAGGTGGAAAATCCCTTTGAATCTTCAGCTCCAAGGGGATGCAGGAACCAGGAGTATGTGATGTTTTCACTAAAACACACCCGGCGGCCGGCTACAGGCGCCATACTCAGGGGCTGTAACACTTACGTTCTGCTTGATATCTTGTCATTATCATCATCATTTCATCTGTATTTTATTGGTGTCCATATATTCATCTAGCACAATATAATGTACTGCGACAACACAATATTGTAGTGTTTTAATACTAATTAGTAAACAACTAGTAGTAAAATACTTATTGATAAATTGTTAGTGATACCAAAGGCAAAAGGGTGCATCAAGGTTATCAAAATGTTATTCAAATGGAATAGAATATATTTCATTTGCATTGATTGTAGTTACATAAAATAGTGATGTTAACAAGTTTTCTGGTAGAAACAATCTACACTACAATCTACCTGGGCCTCAATTCTGCTATTGTATGTTCACGCTAAGCCACTGTCATACCACTGACACGCTATTGAGATGCCATCTAGTGGCCATTGGCATCGGTATAAATATCGGTAGTCTACACTAACTCAGTGTCTTTACAGTGGCAATGGAATGTATGCATCACTGCAAAGAGAAGGATAACTTGACACAAACCCTATACCAACCCGTCTGGCCAGCGTGCTATAGTAGGCCAAAACCTCCTTTGTAAGGAGAGGCCTATGACCAGCAGTGGACTATTAAAGGCTGTTGATTGTCAGTTGGCGTTCTACATAAGTAGAATGCCTATCAATCTCAACTATTTAATTAAGTAGTACGTAAACGTAAGTTGGAGTTGGGGAAATTAATTGAATATTATACAAAAGGGAAAGAAAATGCGCATTCCGGTAAAGTCGAATCAGACTTGATCTTGTATTGAAGAATAATGGAATGAATTTTGTCCTAAATCCACTTATGACATTAACTATTGTGTCACTGTGTTGTGAAATTAAGATAAGATAGATAAGATAAATACATGGTCATATCAATCTGATGCTGACAGTAGATATTTAAATAAATTAGCGTTGCAAATGCTTGTTTTTCTTCTAAAAAGTTATCCTTACAAATATGTGCCTTAAGTTGAAGATGCAAAAGTCAATATAGCTTGTAAAATGCAGCTACATCAATATGCAAGCTAAATAATGAACGAGTAGCTCCAACAAACAAAGTCCTACATTATATGTTATGGAGTATAATCAGAATTAATTATCGGCCACACTGGAAGGCCACTTTATCGTTCGTACATCAGTAACAGAAACGTTTCCGTCGTGCTTATACTTGTCGTTTCAATCAATCAAGATAAATAGTTTTCTGTATTCAATCCGGTTGAAAGTAGCTAAAATGAGTTTTAAAAATAAAGTTGCGTTAATCACTGGATCCGGATCGGGCATGGGAGAGGCAACTGCTATTCTTTTTGCTAAAGAGGGAGCAAATGTGGTGATTGTTGATTGGAATGAAGAAGCAGCCAACAAAACAGCAGAACAGTGTAAGAAATTTGGAAGAGTTTTAGTTGTAAAAACAGATGTTTCAATAGATGAAGAAGTGAAAAATGCAATTGACAAGACTATTAAAGAATTCGGGAAATTGGATGTTTTGGTCAATAACGCTGGTATTACAAGAGAACATAACTTATTATCTGGAAATATAATGGAATCCTGTGACTTGGTATTAGCTGTAAATCTTCGTTCAGTGATTCTCATGACGAGTATTGCTACACCACATTTAATCAAGACCAAAGGTTGTATTGTAAATATGTCAAGTATATTTAGCAGTATGACAAATTTAGCGGTACGATTCCCTGTTTATGCTGTCACGAAGGCTGGTGTTGACTGTTTTACACGTGTATCTGCTCTGGAACTTGCACCTAAGGGTGTGAGAGTGAATGCAGTCAATCCTGGACCTGTTTATACCAATATTTTAGTGAATGCAGGAATCGATGGCAATTTTGATGATTACGCCAAAGCGACACCTATAAATAGATCTTCAGATCCAGAGGAGATTGCAAATTTAATTTTGTATTTGGCAAGTGATAAAGCGAGAAGTATAACGGGCTCCACATACCCAATAGATTGTGGTATGAGTCTTATGTAAAACATATGTGATGTTGTACTGTACTGCAATAAACTAGTAATTAAAGTACATAACATAAAATCGAATTACAAAATTGAATGAGGTTCTAAGTATTAAACTTTTATTTAATAAATGAAAACATTACCTTGTAAAGAATAATATATTGTGTTGTATAATAAATACTAATTAAAGCTGATTCATTTTTTTTATCTTTCATACTTTGTATTTTCTAAATGGCTTTGTTGTAATATTTTTTCACCAGTATCAGAAATATATGGTTTATGTTTGTTTTTTGAATGCTGTAGTACCATAGAAAATCATTCAATTTCTTTTAAGATTCAATGAGGTTGGCGCAGTAGGCACCTCTAATTATTTTTAATTTTAAGTTATGATTAATTAGTTACTATTTCTAATTAATATATTTTGGGGTGCAAGGCTATTACCGTATTGAATCACTGTTGTTGTTAATAAGTTTTTTTAAAGTTTAAAAGCTAATTGTCACGAATATAAAAGTGAGTTTATTTGTTACGCTTTTACGTCTAAAGTTGTATTAGAGTATTTCTAATTATCAAAACATCTACATATTAAAAGGATGCTTTCAGTCAATGATACATTGAGTGAAAATCGACCACCAGCAACTATAAGCAAAATTTTAATGCATGACGCAATTGAAACTGGTGAGTTTGATAAAAAAATGAGAAATAAATATATTATAATGGCTTTTGCCGGTGGCTCAGCCCGCGTTTATGGCGGTTATGTCGGCAAAAAGTAGCCTATGTTCACATCACATCATCAACAGCCTATAACAGTCCACTGCTGGACATAGGCCTCTCCTTAGAAAGGAATCTTAATCGCTGATACTAAGCTTTTCATTGGTGAAAGAATGTTATAAATCTATTTAGTGGTTTTGGCGATAAAGCGCAGCAAAGAAAAAAAACTAGCTTACTTTCACATTTACAATATAAGTATGGATTTAGTAATAGCATTGACAGTAAGAATTAAGTTAATACAGTGAAAGAAATATATACCTATAAAATAAAATATATAACGTATAAAACTAGTTTATTTATTCTAAAATTGGAAATAACACAAGATGCATCAGTATGCAGTAAAACTACAGTTGATTTTGCCAGTGCAGAGAGATGCTAGTGCATCAATGTCAATCAGACTGCCAGTAATACCTTAGCCTTACACTAGACAAATAAATAGTTAAGTCTGCAATATCTTCAGGATCTGAATACCTTCTTAGAGCAGTCAAATCTTTAAAATCATCAGTTTAATATGGTTGATTGGAGCCTTGAGCGGCTAATAGGTTTGTGTACACAAGTCCTGGCCTAATACAATTCACCCGAATACCATATTCCCCAAAGATCCTTGGCGATGAGACGATTAAAACAGTCGACGCCTCTTTTAGCTACATACCTGCGTAGTATAATTGTAAAACTGAACGTCTCGTCTTAAATATTTAGTTAAGATACTGGATACATGTCACACACAATGTCGAGTTTTCCAAATTCAACGATCATCTTTTCTATTGCATTCTGCGTTTCCTCATCCTTTGAAACATCGGTTTTGATCACAAGCACTCTGTTTCCATATTGATTTAAAATTTCTCTTGTTTTAATGGCTTTTTCTTCAGTTAATCTTACTGTAACTACATCTGCTCCTTTCTTAGCGTAGAGTATTGCTATTGCCTTGCCTATTTCGGAGACAGAGCCAGTAACCATTATTACCTTATCTTTGAAACTCATAATGCAATTATAATTGTGGGTTCAATAATCAATTTAATACTAACTTGGAGCCAAAACATTGATCTTTTGTATGTGGAGGATAGATAAAGGAAAGATTATGTACAGCCATACATGTTCAAGATTATTGCACCAGTAGTTGTTTTCTTGTAATCACAAAACATTAACATGATAATAAAGATAATTTAAAATCACTTTCTTTATTAGTTATCAGTGACTATTTGGTTTATTAGTTATCAGTGGCATTATTTTCTTTTTTAAATTATTAAAGATTTTATTTTTAGAAATAAATTTATTTGTTAAATCAAACCTATTGCGATCAAGATTCGATAAAAAGTAAAATCCAAGTTTCTCAATTACTCAGACATTTAAATTCAGTCGACGTATCCTGACTTTTTTCGAGTAATATGGCGATATCGAGAGGAAGGAAAATGTTAGGATTTTAAAAGGTTTTCATTAATATTAAATTAATGAAAACCTTAAAAAGTTGTTGCTACTAAAGCCGATATCAACACGACGTCTAAACAGAATGTTTAACTGCACCGATGACTGTTACTAAATATCTAAAAAAAGATTGTACCATTATAGTTTAAGTTAAGGTTTGACTCGATCCGAAATGAGAAAAGTTTGAAACGAAATCCAGTGTTGACGAGTCAATAGTAACAAGAGAGTTGCAACCTTGTATCTTACAGCCTTAAAATAAGCGCTTTGCTATGTTAATTCTTATTTTCTAACGCATAAGGTCTACACATTTCAATGTTTCTGCACTTTGGTGTTGGTTTTTCCCAGCTTTCCGATGAAGTTTTTTCTAATAAACTCCATTGCATTGCAAAAGCATGTTTCGCGATGATTATAGTATTGTGGTGATTTTAGTTAAGTTTTTTAATTAAAAAGCCTTATATATAAGTATCTTTCTTTTTGTTTTTGCATCAAACAGAGCTATGATTGGGTATTTGAGTTTTGTGTTTGAATTGCATACAATTACTAACCACTTGATGGCTTTTTGACGTTAAACCGCCGCTTTCAGAGTTCTATGTTCACAATCAAACAAGTCATTCATTTTTATAAATTTATTATAGATTACCATCTTTGCTTCTTCCTTTCTTGTAATAATTATTTTTACATTTTTCCAAATTTTTCCCAACTCCGTGCGATGCAATTTAATTTTTCAATATACGCTGTCATTTACCGTCTTACCCTTTCTAGCCATAGTAGTCTATATGTCTATTCCTCGTCCTCTATTCTTGTAATTATCAACTTCCATATATAACATTTCTTCACCACGGACATATCATTTCATAGAAAATAATTCCATATTATGCCAAAAATTATGTCCACGATATCCCTCATCTGTATGCCAAAATACCTTTCCTCATAAACGAATATTATCCCAATTCATGAACAGTTGAGCGTCTTATTGAAAGCCTTATTGCAGAAGCCTTTGTACAAGGATCACGGTAGCACAATAAGACAATATTATGTTTCATTGTTGTGGCATGACGGGCTGACCGACAGTAACCCATATATCCATCCTATTATGTGATCTTGAATAAGGCGCGGTTGTATTATACACAGGACATACGGTTGTAAAATCTAGCTGATCTTTTCCGTTATGTTGGTTAGATTGCGGTGATTGTTGTTCAAAATATATTAATAAACTAATGGAAGAATATTTTAAGGGTTATAGTTTGTTTAATGTATTTTTTTATCTAAAGAAAATACATAAATTTAGGTTTCATATACAGAGGTTTTGTCATACTTTTTTGTTATAGTGTAAATCGGTTTAGCGGTTATTGATTCCCCATACAAATTTCCACCCCCTTTTTCCCCCTTAAAGGATGAATTCTCGACATTCAAACTATCTCTACACCATATTTGATCAAAATTCGTTCAGCGGTTAAAGCGTGAAGAGGTAACAGACAGACGGACAGATAGGCAGATTAATATTATAAATGCGAAAGTGTGGCATTTATAATATTAATATAGATATGGATCCAAGTACGGATTGTGAAAATTCACAGTTAATACCATTTCCAATGTTTGTTATACTTACCTTTTAGATTTAGTTTCATAATGTCAAACATTTAGTCAACACACCTCTCCCAACATACGCCTTGATACTCCGTCATCCACATCCGCATCTATTTCATATATCTCAGATCGTCATTTGAAAGGTCCCGCTTATCTGTCAACTTAGCAAATTTGTTTTTGATAAGTTATTTTCCAACAGATATGTAAGCATTTATAAAATTAACACAGTTGACAACGCAATTTATTATTATTGATTTGATGATAATCATTCAATATGATAAATATGATTCGTATTTCAAAATTCTTGTTACTGAGATATGTCAGGCAGACCTCATGAATTAATAAAGATGTTACTCATTTTTAAACAGTTTTTGATATTCCCTGTAGTGTCGGATTAAGAATATGGAATGTCACCGCCCCTATTCATTCCATGGGTGTCATTAAAGCCAACTAAGCAAAAGAGCAAACTACGCAGGACGACAGCACTGCAAAGAGAAGGAAAACTTTAAACAAACCAAAACAAAAAAGGTCTAAACCTCCTTTCTATGGAGAGGCCTATGTCCAGAAGTAGACTGTTAAAGGCTGTAGATGATGGTGAGGATGAAACAGTTTTTGCAGAATATTTATTTGTGATTTTTGTAATTCATCCCCTAATTCATCCCGTGGGTGTCGTAAGAGCCGACTAAAAGACAACTAAGCAGGACAACAGCACTGCAAAGAGAAGGAAAACTTGAAACAAACCCTTTTTTTTTTTTTTTTTTTTAACGTGTGGAAATCCCCTCGGACCGTCACCCCTCCGGGGTTTGCTACGGGGTGGTGTGTCGGACTGGGACCGACTAAAACCACACGGTGTGCCACTCTGCGCCTGTAACAGGAGGGATCCGGGAATAGCTGTTGTTAAGACATCCGGACCCCTCCTAGCGCCAGCCCGCTCCTGGTGCGGGCTCCGTCTCAATGTTTTTCCTCTCTTTAGGCGACGTCCGGCACACGCGGACGCCGCCCCCTCGCGGCTGGCCAAACTAATGCGGGTGGAGGGGAAACCCACCCCGTCCACCCGCGGCCACACTCAGGGCGGCATGAGGCTGTGATAGGCGGGCCTCCGCCGCCCGGTTCGCCGGCGGCGGATCGGGTCCGAGTGGAGGTCGTCCTCCCGGGCCCTCTCCGCCGCCTCCTTCAGCGAGATTACTACCTCGCAGAAGGTTGCGACCGCGGTAAAACAACTGTCGCTACCGGCCATGGAGCGTACTACGGCCGGGTAGCGAGAGATCCACTCCGATGACTGCAGTGAGGGCCCGGCGCTGCGCCGCCCATGCGGGGCAGACCGCCAGCGTGTGCTGGGCCGAGTCCTCACTGCAGTCGCAGTGGTGGCAGGCGGGACTCAGTTCCCTCCTAGCGACCGTGTGCAGGTACTTTCCGAAGCAACCGTGCCCGGAAAGCACCTGCGTCAGCCGGAAGGAAAGGGTCCCGTGCTGCCGCCCTGCCCACTCGGCGATGACCGGCTGGAGAGCCTCCACGGCGGCGAAGCCAGCGCGTGGAGTCTCCAGCCGGAACGACCAACGAGCCATCGTGGCTCGGCGAGCGGCTTCGCGCCACTCGCGCACATCCTCGGGCGGAGGGCGAAATCCGCTCTCCGCCCGGAAGTCAGCCACTCGCCGATAAACTTCGGCGAGCACTTCCGCCTCCAAATCCCACGGGGGAGTTCCGGCCAACGCGCATGCCACCTCCGTCGACACGGTGCGGTAACCGCGTATGGCTCTGACCGCCATTACCCTCTGAGGGCGCCAGAGGCGTACCCTATTCTGGGCGGTCAGAGCCGCCGCCCACACCGGTGCACCGTACAGTGCCATTGACCGGACAACCCCCGTGTACAGCCGTCTTGTCGCGACGCTGGGTCCACCCATATTGGGCAAAAGTCGCCCTAGGGCAGACGCAGCGCCGACCAGCTTTGGAGCAAACTGTCGGAAGTGATCGTCGAAGAGCCACCTCCCGTCGAGGATCAGGCCCAGATATTTCATCTGGGCCCGAACCGGTACGAGGACCGAGTTGACCACGATTGAGGCGCCAGGGGGTGGACCACGATGGGGCCCATGAAATAACAACTGCAAGAAGTACCACAAGTAATCTTCTAAGCTACGTAATGGAAATGGTACCAACAGTGGACAATGGGGGGCAGATCGACGCCGCATACTTCGACTTCAAAAAAGCTTTCGACTTGGTCGATAATGACATGTTGCTGAAGAAGTTGGCAGGCGTCGGATTCACTCCGCATCTGCTTAACTTCTTTGCAAGTTATATGAGTGACAGGCAGCAATATGTGGAGTATGCAGGACACCAAACGCGACCATATTTTACTAGATCTGGCGTCAGTCAGGGAAGTAACTTGGGTCCTTTGGAGTTTTTATTAATGGTTAACGATCTGCCGAGTGTCATACAAGAGGCCAAGTGTTTGTTATTTGCAGATGACCTGAAATTGTCTCTCGCTGTTGGAAGCATGGCAGATTGTGAAAAGCTGCAGAGGGACATAGACAGAGTCGTTAGTTGGAGCAAGCAGAATCGGTTGCAGTTTAACGTGTCGAAGTGTGTGACTATCTCTTTCTCACGTGCACGCACACCTATCCAACACAAGTACACGATGGAGGGGACTGAGATGACCAGGGTAACTGAAGTGAGGGATTTGGGAGTGCGTTTTACCACTGAGCTAGCGTTTCGTGATCACGTACTCAAAGTCTGTAAAAAAGCTTATAGGAACTTGGGGTTGGTACTTCGTATGGCTAAAGATTTTACCAATATAAAAGCTGTTACAGCATTATATAATGCTTTAGTTAGGAGCCAACTGGAGTGTAATGCAGTTATCTGGGCTCCACATGAGACTAAATATAGTCTCATGTTGGAGCGGGTGCAAAATAAATTTATTAGATTTATTTACATGAAGTTGTACGGAGTCTATC